TCAAGTACGAGCCACATGGATTTGTCGTACGCTTCAAGAGCTTTCTGTGCTTTCGTACAGGTCGGGGCTACGATGGAGGCGAAATGGTAGGGGCCCATGTGCTGTGTGATAGTAGCACCCGTTAAAGAACGCCAGATGGCCGAAACTCCCGGAGACCTGAAAGATGTAAGCAGGAAGGTGGATTACAAGAGGCCCAGAAGATGCGTAACATTGTCAAAGCGCGTCGTGACCTTGACCACTTTCTTTCAGCGTGAGCGTGAGCGCAAACGTGGGCTTACGGCGGCATACTGCGGCTGCCACGTCAACTATGAAGCATGCGATGTTCAAAAAGAGAAGAAGGATTGATTTCTAGCTGACTTTGAGAATGAATTGTACGTACCAGGCCGCGTGCTGCATGACAATATTTGGCTCACGTGTTTTCGGCAACCTGGACAATTTATCAGGAACGTTTTCTGACCATGCTAAAAAGTGTCAGGGCTCTTTTTAATACAGTGGGTAGCTCTTCTTTTTTTTACTTCTGAATCAATACGTATCATAGTTATCAAAGTACACGCCCCTACGGATACACCAGATACGCAGCATGAAATGGAAAGGAAAATAAAATAGAAAGGGCAGGCGAAATGAAAACTGCTGATAGTACGGCCTCCTGTGTGAGCTAGCTGTCTTGCTCCGTCAAGTTATTGTCGTGTTTTCAGCAAAACGCACTGCTAGACTAGCCCGAAAATACTTATTGCTAAAAACAAAAGAAAAAAATCCATGCTCTATTGTTGTCCTTGTCGTCCGGATATGTGTAGTATTTCGACACTCTCACTGATGCTTGTTTTGATACCGCTGTGCAACTGAGGACAAAGCCAATCTTCCTACTTGCGAAGCAGGCTCAACACCCTTGAGGAGTAATATATTAGCGCTCATTGAAATACTGTTTATTTCACTGAATGAATGATTTGGCAATTTCAGACAGCTTGCTTCCTCGTTTGACACAACCTTTATGAAAACTGGCAGATAAGGAGACAAGAAAAGTATAGGAGACGTTAATTGTATTGTTCTAAGTATCTTGTAATAAATGTGATGCAGATGTCGCGAAAGGAGAGTGGACCAAAAGGCAAGACAACTTGCCGCCGGCAGGGTCTGCAAGGGCAACCTTCCATTTCACGCCCGATGCTCATAACGATTGAGCTGTAGGGCGGCGGTCTTGCGCTCATCCACATTATCGGGTATTTATGTGCATGAAGCCTGGGACTGTTTATAAGCGCCGCTCATAGCCATGGCAGCAATTCAGGAACGCTCTTTTTTACAGCGAAAGCTGTATATGACTAAAGGAAACAAAAAAAACATGCGGCATAGGTGAGATGAGCGGTTTCCATTGGCTGTGCTATCAGTTACGTCACTCTCAGCATCGTACTCAAGCACGCACCATTGGCTGCTCTGTGAGGGACGTCGTCTACTCCGTTGGAACCGCGGCGTCCAGCAAGAAGCGTTGCGGCGTTACGGACTCCAGAAGAGCAGACAATGTTGCAAGAGCACCGACAGTGGAGACGTGACAGCTCGCATTCGCCAGGCCGATGCTGCAGTCCGGGCCCAAAAACAGGCCCGGGATGCTGAGTGCCGGCAGCAACTGCGTATCGATGACCCGGCAGCCTTCCTAGCCGCGCTAAATCGAGAAGGGGAATGCAACCACCCAAAGCGGTCGGATCGTTCAAACCAACACGGCCGAGTTAGCTCGCAATGTCAAGCGCTTTGAACAATGCGCGCCGAACAAGCGGCGTTGAGGGCAGAACAGCGTGGAACTCGCTCGCTAAATTTCGTGCCGACCGGTTGTGCTTCCGCGATTTCCGACGACAGCGCAGCTCTGGCCGACTGGGCGCCCCCTACGCCATCTCCTGACGCCGACAAGAGCTCTCGCCGAGGGATGCCCCGTCCTCGTGCTCTTGTGACCGTGTCCATCTTTCCTATCTCCTCTTTACTTCCGTCGTTTTCTGTCGTTCACTGTCCCTGCGCCTCGCTCTCTCCTTTCTCTCTCTATTTACCTTTTAATCCTATCCTTTTAATCCCTCCTTACCCCATCCCTTGTCAACTACTGTAGAGGTGTCGCACTGTGATGCAGACAGTTACGGGGCTCACTTTTCTTTTCTCTTTAAGAATCGCATAAGAATCGCATAAGAACAGCGTCAACGTGATTGCGGGAGCACGCTCGCCGGGGCGAACGCCCGCTTTAGGCGGGTGTTTATTCAGCGGCACTTTGGCTTCGGCTGTGACGTCTGTGAATGGCATGTGAAATAAACACAGAGATAAACCCAAGTCAAACGTGTGTATAACCTCGTTAAGAAGCACGGACATGTAACCGATAATTGTGAATGGCTTCAGGGCAGCGTCGGATTGAACCCATTGCTAAACACCGGGAGCAGCACGTTAAAGCTTTCGCTGGTCAACCATTTGTACGGAGTGCTTGGGAGGTGATTTTTTCGACAAATGGCGTCCCGTAGCGCTCGATTCGTCAAGGAACGGGCCGCTGGCCAATAAAAACGCCCTCGTGTACTATCAGTAGGTATTATGTCTGCCGGAACGAAACCCTCACTATGAATGTATAGTGGATGGGAATTTACAAGGATTCGTTTTTTTTTGTTTGATACAACGTTAATAAAAACCAGCAGATGTTGAAGCAATGTGAATAATTCAGTAATGTAACTGAGTTTAATTCAAAAGTCCATTCAGTGGAAGCGGTCGAGGTTTTGTCTCTTGTACCATCGTTCGTCGTCCGGCTTGCATGCTATATATAAGAGTTCGATTTAGCTCTAATAAACGCGCCAAAATCCACCTAATAACGATTTCTCAACTTGTCACTAAATCAATGGTTGCTTTTTTTTATTGCAGTAAGGACATGGTGGACATAGACATGGTGGACGAATTTCGCCATCGTCGTGGTACCCTTACTAGGCTCTAAACCTTCCTAGCACTTTCACTGCCTCGCGCTTCAGCTGAGGCTTTTCTTTAGGCAGCAAGTTGCGCAATCACTGCACACTACCGACCAGACTGCATCAAACTTCTTTCATCGCGTAGCCAAATCGTTGCTTTCTCGAGAGGCACAACTCGAGCCGAGTTTAGTGCAGACCACTCTCCGCTGCGGCTCTCGCAGTCCCTAAATGAGGCCCGAGAACCCGGAGGGCCGAACCAATGAGAGGCGTCCTTCCGTCTGAGGTGCGCGCACTCGTTCGGCCGGATACAGCGCGGGCAGCAGCTGAAGTGGCGCAAAGAGCGCAGCGCTCATTTCGCCAGAGAGAGGTTATACGCGTGAAGCTTTGGCAGATCGATTGCGCCCGGAAATGGAGCGGAGAGTGGCAGTGAAGAGCGGAAACGAGACTCGGAGCATCTCGTCTGCCGGGCTCGGCCCGCTTGCGAGTGTTGGAAGGCCACTCGCAGTTCGTCCGAGTGCATGCCGTTGTGTCCACGCCGACGGCAGTGCGCCACTCTCTTTTTTTATTATTTTGGTGCCCTCCGCACGCTCGCAGTTAAATGGTGGTTCTCGCCGAAGTAATGGGTCTCCGGGGCCCCCTTTTCTCGGCGAGCGTGTATAACGCGTGCTGTTGGCGGGGCTGCATTCAGCGGGTCTGTATATAAAGTTTTACTCTGGCGCGCTGAAAACTCGGACGTTTGCGTGCGCTGAATCACGGCGAGAATATGCTGTTCCCTCGACGGCTGTTTTCCGGAGAGAACGCCGTAAGATCATTGCTCGATTGTTCGTATTTTTTTTTTAATATGATCAGCGTACCAGCATTACTGTTCGTAAAGGGGCTTAGCGTTTATGGCTTGTTGCCAGAACAGTGTACGCTTGCGAGTCAATCGTCCCAATGGGGAAGCAGCCATGCATAATTCATCGGACACTGTTTGAAAATGACTCTTGAACTTCTAAATAGTCAACTTTTTTTTTCTCGCGATTTTCTTGTACACTCTCTAAGACCTTATCGTGCGTGGAATAATTAAACAGCTCTACTACAAATGCTCCCCTTCATTAACTAAGATATAACTTTTGCGAGAACATAACTTTTCCCCTGGTAGATCATTTTGAAATTGGCAATTGTCCTATTTTTTTAAATTTGATATGTTTTGTCATTTCTTTACTGAATACAGTACAAAGGTTCAGTCGATTCCCTATTGTTTCACTGGTGGGAATACTTCAAAGGAATCTGCTGAGTATTTGAATCTTTGAGTCTGTATTCATAGGAACTATATGGATGAAAGGTGTACCTTAATGTAATAAATTAAATAATGTCAATTTAACTTTGTTAATTAACGTTCGAACATTTTGGTATATTCTGTAATGCGAATACTCCTTTTTGAGCAGTTGCGTATCCTGGTTCCGATGTGAAATTAAGTGCATAAATAGACAGCACTTGATGGTAGAGTCACACCGTAAAAAAGCGCGAATATGCATAGTAATTACATAAATATATTGAGCAGGCATAAATAAACTTTATCGCTATCTTGGTGGTGGATGTGCCGTGCAGATCAGTTGCACTACACTGCCAGCTCTACTTTTGTCGTCCTTAACACGTGACTGCAGTGCTTATTGCAACCTAAATGAAGCCACTTACTGGGAGGAAATGGTGTTACCTGTTTTGAGTAATACATTGGTGGTGTTTTATATCCGAAAACCACGATATGTTTGACATACGCTAAGTTGGAGGGCTCCGGACACATTCCGACCACTTGGGGTTGTTTAAAATGCACGAAGGTATAACTGCAAGGGCCCGTAGTATTTTGCCTTCACCGATTCCCCGCCACTGCGGCCTTCGATTTCTCGATCTCCGGGTTGAGTAGTCGGGCACCGTAACTTTTATAGACTGCCACGACGGGTGTCTGCTTCAAGAAATGTTGATGTTTTCTGAAACTCTGGTGTAACTCTGGTATTCACTGAAAACATGTGGGCATGACGTGAATAAACTCTGCACGTGTGCGGCTAAACTTTCTGTATTTTTTTTTGTTTTGGCACTCTGTGCACGCAGATTCATCAAAGAAGCTTCCAGACGTTCTTGAGGAATTCAAGGAGAATGGAGCCCTGTCCAAGTACAACGCCGAAGGGGTGAGTGTGTGTTTGTAGGCCTATTACGTGATAAGAGATGGTACATTTCGCTCTGGCCGCATGCGTCGGAAACAAGCGCGATACTGAAACGGAAAAATAAACAAATGGGGCAGTTTTCATAGTGATTACATTTTAGTTTACCGTATGCCACCGCCGCCGTCGACGTCGTCGTCGTCGTCGTCGTAGTAGTAGTAGTAATAGTAGTAGTAGTAGTAGTAGTAGTAGTAGTAGTAGTTTTCATTTGAATCAAACCACGGCCACACTACCACAGTCTATCCAGCAACAGGTTCAGTTATATCGATCCGCTCGGACGGGAAGATGAAGACAATGACTATGACTAGTAGTAGTAGTAGTAGTAGTAGTAGTAGTAGTAGTAGTAGTAGTAGTAGTAGTAGTAGTAGTAGTAGTAGTAGTGGGCAGAGGAGTTGAAATCATGCCGGTAACATGACCAAAGTATGAAGTGAATAAAGGAATGATTAAAACGCAATGAAGATGACTACAATTTTTTTCACTGAATGATAACTTCACACTCATCATCATCATCATCATCATCATTATTGCAGTTTTGCTCTATGAAAGTTTTTATGGCAAAACGTGTATCTTTCGCAACTTAATATCCTTTTCACATTTTATGTCTGCAATGTTTACTTCGTTTCACGGTGGTCATGTCGGACACATGCGCTGCTGCACTATACCTTCTGCGCTGCTGATTCACTTTCTGCTGCATTCATATTTTATTTTCGAGAATAACGCCAGTGTTAGACGGCTTCTCTACTTCCTTTGCCCGTTGATGGCTTGTTCGGTAGTCTTGAATTATCTTCCGAGCGGATCCGGCGAAAGACGGGGATTATTTCGCAACCCTGCCTTCCTTGTCTGGGTATTGTGGCACGCATTCCGCCAGCCTAATGCTCCTTTAAATTGGATTCTGAACGAGCAAGGCGCATGCAGGTCCGGTTGAGCAAGCCGAACAGTCGAACACGCTCGTACTCTTGAATTAGTCACGAAATACGAACGTGTCTGGTAGTGAAAAAGCTCCACCAAGGGTATGCGTTCCAATCTTAATGCACGAGACTGCAGAAGCGTGGTTTGGATAGGCCGCTATTACCCAGTACCTGATTAGAATGGTTGCCCCCTAAAAAAAACTAAGTAAAAAAACCGGTACTTTTGATACCGAGCAGATGAAAAAAACAAAGCTCTTAGTTTTGATATGCGTGCTTTATACCATTGGACAGTCCCCTTCCATAGCAACGAAGGCGCGGGCCAATACCGCTGGCGTTCGCCCTTATACGAATAGCATTAGCGCAGGGAGTCGTTTAAACGTTTTTGAGGAATGTTAGCCTTTACTATTATTTAGGTTCTCGGTCAGCGAAGATTTTAAAGCATCGCTAGAGCTCTAAAAGCTTAAACAGTGAGCTTTCGATCCGAACAATTCAGACAATGTCACAGCTTTATAAACTCTGTGTATTGGCAAATCTAAGGAGAAGCAGGATATGCAAGCGAAGATAAATTCAGCACAGGGCTCACATTATCTAAATATTTTGTTTTTCCTATTCTTGTCAACGTTGCCGGTTGTGCTGTGGTCTCCTACATCATCGGGGTTAGGAAGCTGTGAGTGGCGGATTATATGAAAAACACTTGAGTGAAATTGCTACATTTTTACATAAACCCGCTAGATTTAATTTAATCTGTGTGTAAAAATAACTTCAGAAATTGCTGAAACCCACGCAAATATTATTTTTAACTATTGACGGAAAGTACTTGGGAAGTAAAAACAGCGCAAAAATATAGACAAGGACAGAGGAAGAGACGACACCGCGCTGAGTCGTCTTTTCCTCTGTCCTTGTTTATATTTTTGTGCTGTTTTTATATCCCAAGCATGAACCACCAACTTGCCCAACTTTCGCTATTATTGACGGAAAGCGTGAAGATAGTCACTCTATCTCAGATGTCTCATTTAAACGCTCTACTATATAAGCGCACTTTACAGAACAGCCTCATCTGTACATGGTATGCGCTTATAAATTTCATACCTAAAGTTTCTTGGAAGTTACAAATTTTTGTGAATCTCCTTTGAACGTCGAACATTTTACGGCTTAGATAAATCGTGTAGATATCATTCACTTGACTGTCAGTAAAATCAGAGGTGAAATCACTTGTATGTATTATATGGATTTGAGTAGAAAAGTTGATTAGAAAAGACGATTTTGATTTGATTTACTGCCGTTTTATGCGCAGTGATTTCTATGTTGTTTCGACTTACACATCAACACTCTTATACAACCGAAAATAGCACTACCTCTTTGCAAAATAGCGCTACCTATATATATATATATATATATATATTTAAAGGGCACCAGAAAGTACGCGCTTACTGAAATATTCACAGCGCTGCAGATCAGGATTTATTGACGGAATATCGTACGCACGTGGGCTTATTGCCTCACAAGTGCCTCAAAAATACTTCACAGGAACCCGGCAAAAGTCGTCAAAGTCACATACTAATCGCAAAACTAAAAGCAGCATGTTATCCACTTGTCAGCTCCATGGCTTCACTCAAGGTTGGCTCAAGTGCAGTTCAAATCAACTGCTACCACGAGAACTTCAACTTCGCTTCATCGTTTAGAAACCGGAAATTGAAAGAAAAAAAGAAAAGACAGAAAAGAAGCATGGTATTGAGAGTTTTAAAAATGCGAAAGGTTGTCTGCTTTCTTATATCGTGTGCGTATTATTTTTTTGACGGTGGGAAGACACAATACAAACTGCGTCCTGGACTCGCGTGTGGTATCGACGGTGCGATGCTGTCGTTGGCGTCGTCGCCCGTATATTTCCCTGCGTCTTTAAGCGTCTAAACATAGCCGAAGGGCGTTCGCTCGCAGACCTTCTCATTAGGGCCGATCGCTAAGCTCGTTTCCAGCGTCAACGACAAGATAGCGACGTCCACGCTCGGTGTCATCAAAGCGGCGCGGAGCTTTGGTTACGCGTGGGACGCCGATATTCGGGATTTGAATTCGCAAAGCTTGTCGCGTTCGGCCTTATACGTATGTCGTTGAGCGAAAAACAGCAGTCGAAAAGTCGTACATCGAGCGAGGAGTGTGTGGAAAGGTGCTTCGATCTCTCGTGTGCCCTAAGGCCTCACCGTACGCACCCGTTTGCGACGCGTCAAAACGTGGCTTTCTGACGCGGCTACACTGCAAAGATGTTTGCACCCTAGAGGGTGTAAAACGGGTGTACACACTAAGAGCACCGATATGAACACCCTTTTACACTCCCATTTTAAAATTTAGGGTGTTCGTGAACAAAACACCCTCAAAACACCCCATTTACACCCATATATTTGTGGTTTTATGAACAACGCTACAAATGATTGATTGATATGTGGGGTTTAACGTCCCAAAACTACCACATGATTATGAGAGACGCCATAGTGGAGGGCTCCGGAAATATTGACCACCTGAGGTTCTTTAAGGTGCGCCCAAATTTGAGCACACGGGCCTACAAGGCTACAAATGCACGACATTTTCGGGCAGTTTTACTTATATTGTTAGTATACATTAACCACCTTGATACCAGCAAGGCTCCTACTACTTGCGGGTCTAGTAATGAATCGAAGCAGGAAGTAATGCGACCGAAACGCAGTTTTCATCGATAAAGCACGCAAACTACTACACTGTTCTAGTACAGTGCATAACGCGGCCCCGCGCCCTCTCCCTATGAAGAGAGTAGGCGCTCAGTACGCGGCGCCACATCAGAGAGCCAGGCGCCGTCGCTCAGCAACAGTTGCCTTTAGAGAATGCACTCTGAGCATCTGTTCCTGGCGTATACCGTACGACCCACTTATCCTGCATGTACCGTCGTCGCCAGACGATGACGGTAACAGATTGGACACAGCCCTCGTGATAACTATAGATACAGGTGAAATTTCCGCAAGCCCACTTTTTAAGAAGGAAGCCTTTATAAGCCTCATCAAATGCGAAATCGGACCGTCCACGTCGTCATCAGCGGCGTCAACACGAGTGATGCAAAAAAAAATATCTTAAATGACGTTGATGGCATCTTTATGACGTCACATTGTAATGTCAACACGTCACATCGTCGCTTCGTCAAAGTTGATCCGATCACGGAGGCAGTGCGAAAGAAGGTTCATGGGGTGCGGAAAGTGATGCCTCCCACGCCTGACGCAGTGCAAAACTACACGTTAGGTGACGCAAAGTATCCGGGGTAGGGGATTGATACGCCGACTCCTCTTAGGCGATTTCGTATGGAACCCGGTTAGTTTTATCGACTTCAACTCCGGATTACGCGCGTCTTATGTTCGGCCGGCCTCTCCTGTCCCGTATCTTGTCTATAAGACAAAAGTAAAAAAAACGGAAACGCGTCAGCCAACCTTTTTGTGCACTTCCGGCCCATATATGTCACCGTGCGTGGTTTGCTTCTACCATCTTGCATCAACCACGCACGCATTTTACGTGTGCTAATAATTACATCGAAAGTAATGTGTGCAAAGTGATATTAGTGTAGATCAATGTCTTTGTAATCAATTGCTATTGAGTGCTCGACAGCGTTATCTGTGATACGTTATCTGTGATACACCGCACCCCGAAGAACTCAACGTCATACGGAACTTCAACGTGATGTGAAACGTCGTACGGAACTTGCATTCACTCCCGAATCGGGCTATCTGAACACTTTTCCCGATATTTTTTGTGTTGTACGAGGTTAGGCGCACGTTCATGGGGAAGTTAGTGTCTTGAACTGGAATAATAAAGAAAAAAGAAAAAAAAAGTTTTAGAAAGCATGGGGAGCAATAGAAAATTAGAGAACCACGTGACTGTGTCAAAGCACTACATGGCAGAGCGTTGAGAGGCAGCTCCTCAACATTCCAAGATGGCCAGCTTTCGACGAACGTAGTTTCTTTGTCAAAACACAACTGCGCTGAACGACCACTGGAACAATCCACTGGAGCAGAAAAAGGGTACCGTATGGTGAATCACGGTTTCTATCATAAAAATTAGCGCAGATTGCGCTAATACGCGCAAGGCTGGGTCACAGCAGAGCGTGTGGGCACTAACTGGTGGTTAGTTTTTTACAGCGAAAGCTGTCAAGAGCTCACAGGGGTCACGTGCGTCCTTGTCCCGTCTGTACACAAGTATTTCGTAACTGAAACATACTGCAGTAAACTGGAACTTAGGTGCCGGGCCAGCGTACGAGACTGAGCAGCTATCGTTGGGTCGGCCTTACATCTGGCGCCGGAGTGTTTAGGCAGCTGGTGCACTAATAATATATCGCCGGGCCGCCAGAGACACCGCTTCCGGCGCAGCAGCCAAGGATGCGGCTTTTAAGCGAAGTGCGTATACAGCTACAAGGGAACCCGAGAAACGCTCCCTTCTGCATCCCTGTCTGCTCGCGAAAAACTTTCAAGTACCCGACGTCTGACGTATGACTTGGGCCGCTTTAACGTGTACAAACTACGGCGTTTCTGACGGCCGAGCAAGACGGGAACTGACCCGTTCAGCTAACGCATGTGATCAAGTCTTGTCGGCTGTGACACCGAGAAAAATGAATGACGCTGCACTGGCTTGGAGAAGAAAATGCGGATGTATTGGCTAATTACTTGCCTCTGAAAATAGATGGTCAAGTTTTCGAGGACCTTCAAGTGAGGCTTGCATATAAATGCGAAGCATTTCTTAGTATAGACTGCAGGCGTTTTGAACATTCCTGTCAACGTATCTATCTAGCCGCTATAGCATCTGAGCGCTCTTGTGATCATCGCCTTAACTTAGGGTAGACCAAAATTATTATGGGAGGGTAAAAGGGTTCGAGGATTACGTCTGGCTGATTATGAAATGAATAAAATCAATGATGCTATGACTCTATTGCATTCAGTATGAATTCATCTTGAGTTCATGTGCGTCGTGCCTCATAACTGCTAATACACTTTTTTAACAGCGCGAGAAGATGAAGACATTAAGAAAACATTGAGAACACAACTGGTGATCTGAGTGTTATCTTGCTTGTTCTTGCGGTCGCAGTCAAAGAACGTGTATCAGCAATGAACCAAATATAGTGTGCCAGAGCGTATTGCTTAGAACTGCCTGTTCAGTTTCACACGCGTAGCGCCAAAATTTTTGCGGCCTTTTGAACACTTCTTCTGATGCGGCTCACTGGGAAGCCAGGTTCGATCCTGTTCGTCAAGGGCCAATACACTCAGCTTGCTTAAGCCCTTCATCTTTCGTAGAAGCCTCTGTCCCGTTGGCCGTCATAGTTGGTCCCGCTGCTGCATTTCAATTGGTATACGCGACAGCGATGTTCATGAAGGCCAACAACGCAAAGCACCCTTGATCGCTGAACGGGTTTAGTCGGATGGCTACTGCTGCTAAGGCAATGTAATACCCAACTCAATAACATAAAAAAATGCTTGAAAACGCACTGCCAAGCTGACACAAAGTTATAATTACTGAATAACAACAAAAAAAGAGGAATCGACCAATTCCCATGTTAGACAAAACCAAGGGAATCCGATCAGCCGTTTCGAAATGCAGGCTGTGGAGTCGTAAATTGAATTTTCGTATTCTTTGTTCTTGGTGTTGGCTGTATGATGTCCTGACTATATGGTGTTGAGTAAGTGTGTGTTCGGTTTTCCGATGAAAATGTTGACTTCAAAACATTGAGTTTTACGTGAAGTTGGTTCGCTACCCCAGCTGGACGCAGGGTCTTCCCAACACTTCCACCCTTTATGCAGTCTGGTTCCATCACGAAGCTGGGCTGAAGAACAATTTGTGACTGTTCTCAGGCAATGTTGATGCGTAGTACTTGGACAGTGTAGTACTCCTCCCTTTGTAATGTCGTCACAGACTCCTCTTTCACAAAAACCACGATATATGATTACCAGGGACTTCGTAGTAGAGGGCTCCGGAAATTTCGACCACCTGACGTTCTTTATCTGCACATAAACCTAAATGCACGAGTCTTTAACATTCGCCTCCATCGAAATTCGACCGCGATGGCCGGCGTTCGATCCAATTACTTTCGGATCAGCAGTCGAGCAACATAGCCACTATAGACCACCATGGCGGGTTCCTTCTTCATTATTTTCCACAGGTAAAGAGCACTATCAACGTGCTCTTTACCTGTGGAGTGGAAAAAGGCCAAAGTTATTCCTGTGCATAAAGGAGGAAGCGGAAATGATATATCTAACTTTAGACGTATATCCCTGACATGTACAATCTGTAAAATCTTGGAGCACATAATTCTTAAACAAATAACTGTTTTTCCTAGAAGAAAAACGTATATTATCTCCCTATCAGCATGGTTTTCGCCGAGGTCTTTCAACCATAGCCCAATTAGTGGAATTAACACATGAGGTATCCCAGAGTATTGACAACCAAAAACAAACTGATCTAATCTTCCTCGACTTTGCCAAAGCATTCGACAAGGTATCACACAAGAAACTACTTCAAAAACTTGAGGCCACCTTAGGAAATTCTACTGTTCTTAACTGGATCAAAAATTATCTTACTGATCGTACACAGTATGTGTAATTTAACGATGAAACCTCTGCTACCACCTCCGTCACATCTGGAGTTCCGCAGGGCTGTGTGCTGGCGCCAATTTTGTTTCTTCTCTTTATTAATGATTTGCCTACAAATATTAAGGAAAAAAATCAAATTATTCGCGGATGACTGCGTGCTATATCGAGAAATAAACTCAACGGAGGACCATGTAGCTTTAAATAGTGTTTTACAAGATGTTTCCTGCTGGTGCCGTAAATGGCAGATGTCACTTAATGCAAACAAGTGTACAATTTTATCAGTAAGTGGAAAAAAAACTAGGTCAAATTTTTTTTACACTATCAATGACATTCCCATAACTAGAGTAAATCAGCATAAATATCTTGGAATTATTATAACTGAAGATCTAAGATGGGACGAACACATAAGTTACGTTACTTCAGCTGCACTACGCCGCTTGTTTGCACTCAGATACCGGCTTCGTCAGGCCCCGCCTTCTCTAAAACTGCTTGCATACACTTCCCTTGTGCGATCATTACTTGAATACCGTAATATTATTTGGTCACCATTCACAAAACAGCAAATCACGAAACTGGAAGGAATACAAAGGAAAGCTATGAGGTTCATTTACAACAAGTACAGACATACAGATTCTCCGACTAAAATAATTAAAAAAGCTGGATTACTTACTCTAATGAATAGAACAAGGTTAGCACGTGCAAAATTCATACTTGAATTAATCCATGGTCATTTAAACATTGATGTATCCGCCTATCTTACGTTTGATCAAACTAGAACAACACGCCAAAAACACCCAATGAGACTTAACGAATACTCCTTCAACACAAACTGCTTTAAGTACTCATTCTTTCCGATAGCCACTAATGAATAGAATAAACTGGATCCGAGTATCTCCAGCACTACCGAATTAGCAAAATTCCTAACCCTTGTCGAAAATGAACTTTGTATTATGCAAACGGAATCACCTGGTTGATTTTAATATGAGTGTTCGTGTGAAAATTGTACGAGCGAAGTATCATGTCATCATATTTTTCTTTAAGCAATTTTTAATACTGAATCCAGGTGAAGAGAAATCGCTCTGTTGATTCTTGAACATAATTCTGTTTTTCAGTGTGTATAAATTTGCCCTTCCTTGAAATACTTCGCCATATTGTAGGGTAGTTTCGTATTGCTGTAATTTCTTGTTGTGTTTCTTGATGCATATGCCAATATGTCAACCAATGTGTCAACCAAGTTGCTGCATTTATTTTCTTCTGACAGCTTTTCTTTACACTAATGTTTTATGCCTTCTTTGATCTGAAACTGTTAAATGATCCAATTCTGTTAGTTTCATTCTGTACTTTATCGCGATGTATGTCTTTATTGTGTACTCATTCGAATTTTCATGTTCACGCCCTTCCTGCTAAAATCCCTGATGGGATTGGCAGTATGTCGAAATAAATAAATAAATAAATAAATAAATTTTCATACCAAGTTCTGGGTAGCCTCACTGTCTTTTCTTTGTCCGCCACAGTGGAGCAGTGGTTATGGGGAACGACTGCTGACCCGAAAGTCGTAGCTTAGATTCGCAGTGTTCTCATTTCGATTGAGGCAAAATGGTATAGGTCCGTGTGCTTTGTGATGTCGGTGCACGTTAAAGAGCGCCTAATGGTCGAAATTTTCGGAGCCCTTCACAACGGCGTCTTTCATAATCAAATGGCGGTTTTGGGACGTGAAACCCCAGATATTATTATTATCTGTCTTTTTTCTCTCTCTCTCTTCATCCCTTATTCGTCGAACTCAAACCATCACAGCAGGTTCTGATGCGCGGAGTATGCCGGAGTCTATTTGACGCCCGTTTGGGAACGTATGGTCTTGCTCTTGAGGCTCGGAATTCTCTCCTTCTCCCAGGACATCGACCTGGAGGGCTTCCAGGCCTTCATGGACACCTACCTGGAGATGGACACCCCGCGGGACTTGGTCAAGCACTTGTTCCTCTCGTTCGTCCGCAAGCCGGCCCCGCCGCGCGCGCAGATCGCCGATGGAAGACTGCTCAAGGTACGTGCCACCTCCACTTTCGCTCGCTATCGAACGAGAATTACAGGAGTCACTACTAACTTCGCTTCTGACAACTCGTGCGTCCGCGTTCGTCATCGTCTTCTGGAAAGTCATCTGTCAATTTATTTTATAGCTAGAGGGAATGAAATGAATCTTCGCAAAGTACAAGTTATTCTTCGATATGTGTCATATAAACGAACTCAGCTTTGGAGCTATTTAAAGCGTGTCGCAGAATAAATTACCTTCATACCTATATGTGAGCTAGTTGGGCTAGTTTTGTAATGTAAGAACGAGTCTGTACGGGGCAAAGTTTGAAAAAGTGTAAAAATACTTGTGTGATCCATCAGCGCAACACCAGAAAAAAAATACAGGACAGGGAAGGAGCAAAAGAGAAAGAAAAGCATGGCACTGTGGCCTTTTCTTTCTCTTTTGCTCCTTCCCTGTCCTGTATTTTTTCTGATGTTGCGCTGTAAGTAAGTTCACGATGGATCCTAACCAACTGGCACAACTTACCGTCTTACTACTTTTGTGACACCAAAATGCCGCGTGAATAATTATACTAATATATAGTTTCTCTACAAAGTTCCATCACGTCACAGCACTACCTTTTTTGGGAGAAAAAAATCATGCTAATTTTGAGTCACGCTGAATAGCTTTCCGCGTCTACAGCGTGCTCTACAGTGTTAGGACGCTTGCGCACTTGTGTATTAGTAGTGTGTTGACTCGCACTAAAAACGCGGGCGTCTAATTCTCTCACCGCTTCTTTTAAAAAGCCCAACTTATTTCCCGCCTTATAGTATGTGGATGTCCTGCAGAAGAGAATGCTGTTACCTGGCGTGCGTTTGTGTACTGACTTTGTAGTAGTGCTGATACGAAACGGCTTTGTGTCGCGATGAATGCTCGCGCTTGCATCGCCTGCTAGTAGTCTGCCCTGCTAGCGATGGCATTACACGGTCTAGTGGTAGTGTAGTATAGCAGTGCCTTGATCGATTGATTTCAGGTCATGCCTTGCTTGCATCTATTTATGGCTGTGTTTAGCGACATGAGTAGTGCATCTATTTTGATTAGATTTATTTCAGTTTTCTTGCTCATTGACAAAAGCTACGTAGAATATAGTTAGTGCGCTTGTTTCCTGCATCGTTTTACCGAATTTCCTGTGGTATACTTCTCTTCAATGTTTGAGTTATCTCTGAAGACCATATCTGAGAGTAATAAGCCGAAGAGGGAAAATGTGTTTTTACCGTTTCAGTACCTTGTTATCAACTGAATACAAATGTGACTTATATATATATGCTCAAATCAAAGGATCGTTGGTTTTTATTCCTTCTTTATTCATATGGCGTTATATATCTGCGTCGGGTGCGTACCCGGTTTTTGGTGACTCGTAGAATTTGTCCACTTTTCCGAGGTGTGGGTCGTGATGGTCGGGCTTATTGTGTTCGTATATTATATCTGTATTTAGCAGACGTAGATACCACACTGTGGGAAACGCTGAATACGGCCAGCTGAAAACCATATTTCAATCATATTAATAATACGTTTCCTTCGTGTGTTTTTGACCTTAATACTGACGTCCAAAGGCGTGCTCAGAGTTCCCCATTAGCGAAGAAAGGGGAGAGGTAGGGAGGCGGAGCAATACTTCAGTGCATCTACCCCCTCCCACCCCCCAAACAGCGTTGTGCGACGGCTGTTTTTTTATTTCTTTTTTATCAAACGACCAAGCCTAGACAACATTCGCAGCCTAATAATTCCAAAATAGTCCCTTGCTTCACTGCTCGAGTAGTGCAGACACACAAAGAGCGCCTACGACTGTGCCGCCACGTAGTAGACGTATGGAGATAGTTGAGAAATCGTGCGCCCTTTTTGCGTGTGAATGACGATGAAGGGGAATACAGAAAACAATATAGTGTGTCTGTTTCTGGATGAGTGGCTGCGTACGAAAGGTTTGCAAAGCGGAGTCTTACGTAGAAACGACTCCGTATGTTCTGAAACCTCTGTACAATGAAAAACTTGCGAAAACACGGCTTATAGAATATTCCCCGTTACCTTGTTTTTCGTGCATCAAAACGCGGTGAGGGGCCTTCTACACATTTTCTTATTCGCGTGGCCAATTTTATAACTCTGAATGAAAAACAACACTCATTTACACCGTAAAAAAGAAAATAACGAAAGACCAAAAAAAGTGTTACAAAACGTCAAATGCATCAATGAATTCGTGTCGCAGCATTTTTACACCTTCGACAATTGTGTCTTAACACTTCCCCGCCACGGTGGTCTAGGGGCTAAGGTACTCGGCTGCTGACCCGCAGTTCACGGGATCAAATCCCGGCTGTGGCGGCTGCATTTCCGATGGAGGCGGAAATGTTGTAGGCCCGTGTACTAAGATTTGGGTGCACGTTAAAGAACCCCAGGTGGTCGAAATTTCCGGAGCCCTCCACTACGGCGTCTCTCATAATCATATAGTGGTTTTGGGACGCTAAACCCCACAAATTAATCAAATCAATCTTAACACTTACAGGTTGATTATATTACAAAGTCTTACTACTGCGACACCGTCACGTACGGGTGCAATCGGTCGAGAGCCGTTGATAGATAACACCATATTCGGATGCTCAGCAAACATCATTATCCCGGCTTTTGGCGACGCTTCGGCGGCGGTTCCCGCGAAAACAGGGTACGGGCGTGCCTTGTTTGCGTGCCGACGCTTGTGTCTGGAACACAAGCTCGCTCCCTGCTGACAGTCAAAGCCCACTTTCGCGCACAAATTCATGAATGTCCTTAGCGGTACGAGTGCGCTATTTTTCACGGGCGAAGCGAATCGCCTTTGTACGATGTCGGCACGTTTGACGCTTCTGCGATATCCCCACCCGTAATGCGCTTTTCTAGCAGGCAGGCGCTCGATACGGCTCGGCCTTTTCAGCTGTTTGCGCGTTTCCCGAGCCGCAAAAGCGCGTCGTTATCATCCGCGTTTAGCTTCAACGAAGAGGCACTGTGCGCTCCGACGAGAACAGCCGTATAAAACAAAAGAAAACTTTCGAGATCGCCTTCGGCGTTAGCCATGAATTACGGCCACATGTGTATATGAGTCGTATCGCCGTGAATATATGCGATCTGCGAATTCGATAAGCAGCTTTGTGTAGTGGAGTGGAACCGACGCGAAGGGACGGACGCAAACAAACTGTTCTGAGCGTTGAAACCTCAGTTGGCGCGTGGGCGTACAAAGTTGAAGGATTGTGTGACACTAAACTAATCTTTTTTTTTTTCACAAATAAAACTTTCGGTGTTTTTATTAGCGCCGTGAGTCGTCCCCGGAAATGTTGATGAGAAGCTAGTGAGGCAGCCTGGCCAATCGCGTGGCGTGATTATTTAGAGGCCGGGCGATAATTATGACACGTTCGTACGTCGCGATCACAAAAGCACACACAGCACGCTCATATCTAGATACGCATCGACACTGCAAGTATGTCCACTAGGTTTCGTGAGACCTGCGCAGCTTCGGAAACCAGAGTTGCTTTTATAGCGCTATTAACTTCGAACATATCATTCAGTGCAACAATAATCCCCTGCTGCACTCTGACAAAAGCGATTTGGTTGGTATGCTGTCAGGTAAGCAGTTGCACACTTTTTCATTTCGCTCTAAACAGTAATCTGTCACAGATTTGCGCGTCTGCTTTCTCGTGTCTTCTGTTGCGCTGGACAAAGTTTGAGCCTCCTATGGAGATTCGGTAGCCTAGATTTGTACGATACATAAACATTCCACCCCCGTTCGAGTCTATATACACTAGACTAACCATGTGTATATCTATAAGCGATCCTTTCAGAGTGGCCTAATAACAGCAGCTTTCGTAATGCTTGCTTTAGAATATAACAGTCGAGCTTTTGTTCACAGTGAAGTGGTTGACTGGTGCAAATTTACAGCAATGCCGCTATAGCCATAATTCGTCGTGATTGGTTATAACCGCAATACGTTATTTGGTATCGCGCCCGCAACGTTCAGCAAAGCGTTCCTTTGAGTAAAAACACAAAAAATGCAAGCGTAACGTTAGCATCCTAACCAAGGTGCGAACCACACAATGGATGATACGGCGTGATAAACACGTATACCGCTACCCCACGTCCGTTACTGGGTGAAGATTGGCATCGTGCAAGCTGGCGCGACGAGACGACAAAACAGACAAGAAAACATTGCGCAACCCGACTAGGAGGACTGGGCCTTGTCGTCCGGCAGTGACAACGCTGGGCTCACCCGCTGCAACGACCCGAATCAACCAACCACGTGGCACAAATTGGTTTGGTCTGGCTTATGAAATTACCGCAAGTGGTTGCAGAGCCCCGTTGCTGCGTAATACCAGGCATAAATTTCTCGATGCCATATTTTTGCGGAAATAAAAGAACCGCATACTCTCTTAGGTGATTGCGGTGCCCAAAATATACGTTGCATATTCGCTTTCGCAGGATCAGAATCGCGAGGTATAGTGTTTGTGGCTTAATAGTACTTTTGGTTTACAGGGGAAACTGCTTTATAATCGGGGGGGTAAAAAAAAAAGGTGAGAATTGCTACTTAGCGTATTATTTGGGGAAACCATTGCACAGCACAGACGTATAGATGTCTTGAATGAAAAAATAAATCTCCTTTTTATTGCTCATGTGCGAACGCTTGTTATTTGACAGAAAATAAGTTTGTAAAACGAGAAATTGATGATTTTTCTCTCTTTGTATCAACTTCGCGTAAAAAATTCGACCTTTGCTTTTTTAACCGCAACGCGTTGTGAGCACTACAAGAAGTTGAAACGGCTCATTACTTATAGGTGTAATATAGGGCTTCTTTGTCGTCAAAGAAGTACGTGCAATATGCATTGCATCTGACAACAATGAATCGCTTTGAGAACTGCGAATGAAGCTTCGTGAAGGCCTTTTTTTTTTCTTAATGTCACACGTTCTTTGAACAGAGACCCTCTCTGAAAGAGAACCAAAAACAGAAGCGAGTGAGGACTGCATTT